AGGGGTCCGACACCCCACTTGGGAGGGTGCAGGCTTCCGGCGCTCCTACCTGGAGGGGCGGCTGGGGTGGAGAGAGACCGGGCACCGGCCGGAATCCAGCACTGGAGGGTCGGGAGAGTCTTCGAATTCATCCCCCGGCGGGATGCTTCTGGGGAAAACGGTTAGAGAAATGTGAGGGGCCGGGAGGAGGAGTAGATCGGGGGAAGGTTGCAGTTTTCTAACTTGATTTCCCGCGGGTACGAAGCACTGAGGTAAAGGGCAGGAGAGAGCTTCCACCTCGCGGCCACGAGGGGCCTGGGAGGTTGCTGGTCCTGCCCGACTAAGGAAGCCTGCCTTCCCGTTCAGGGGGGCGGTTGAGTGAGGGTGGCTATTCAGGGTTCCGGCCCCCAAAGGGGCTACGAGAGCCGCATCTGTGGGCCCAGAAAGTTAAGGAATGAAATGGAGGAGATGAGGAGACAATACCTACGGAGAGGAGTATTTTGGGTGCTTCAGATGCTGGATTGAGGTTTGGGGTTATTTCCACTTGCGCGAAAGAGGCGACCTTTGATAGCGGTCCAGAGAACTAAGGGTGCATTTCCGCGCACTTGGGAAGAAACCTTGAGAAGACTTCGTTTTCTGCATATAAAGTATTTCTCAGGCACCTTGTCGATTGTCACATCGTTAAGCCGATTTGTTCAGTGAGCATGTAAGATGACATCACCAGCCACTCAAAATCACTTTTTCTGGACTATCTATGTCATCATTGCAGTTTGACTAAATTTTAGTGGGCGTGCTATACCCCAAACCGGGAAAGTGAAACAGATTCAAGACGGGTTTCACTCTGGTTTCATTTATATACAAATCTTTGAAATTTGATTTGGTGAACCCAAGTCTAAATCCTCAAGTTTGAGTTGCCCCTTTTGTCCACGTATTTGCTGAACAAGGAGGTCTGGACTCTGAGCTGGTTTTCACTGTGAATTGGGAGTGTCAACGAGCCAGCTGCAAGCCCGAGGAAGACTCTCCATCCCTCTGGTCTTAGAATTACTGTTCCTCCTTCTCTTTCCCTTTCTCCCTCTCCAAACTCATAAGCAGGTTTGAGCGTCATCACTGTGTATCTCCTCCAAGGAAAGTGGAGTTCTTGATCCTCTCCATCCCATTCACACCTGTGTGTCAACATTGGTCCTGATAATGAGAGTAGTTATTCACTGTTTCCAATCAGAAGTGGTTTTCTATGCTTTACGTGGCTTGTTTGTTAAACCCAGCTGTTTCTAGAACAAATGTTATTCTTGCCTGGTATCAGCTTAGGAGTTGCCAGATTTTGTCCAAGAAATTTTAATATATTTCCCCACACCTTCTTTGGTCGGTATGAATCATTTGTCAAGCCTCGTCCACGGAGACTTACTACAGAACTAATGAACTTAGTTATATCAAAGGGTCGTTCCCTTTCAACAGTATGTAAAGAGCTCTGATGGAATGAAGATTTAAAGAAGAGTGCAATTTTTGACACTTTAACTCAGTAGGCAAGTTTTATAGATGCCTGAGATTGAGCAATCACACATTTGTAAAGGCAGCTTTTTCAGTTTTAAATTCTTAACTGGAAATGAGAGGAGTAATAGTTTGCATTTTCTTATCTAGTAAGTGTGGTCCCTTTTGAATGTGATTAACTATTACTGAAATCACTTCAAGGATTTTTAAAGGGCACTTTCTAGTGTATTAGTAATAAAGGGCTAGTGTAAAACAACATGGATATGGTTATATTTGAAAGGCTATGGCAGGATTCTCTTTTTTTCAATAAGAATTTAAGGAGTGGAAAGGACACTGATTGAGGCAGAGTAAACAAGATGTAGCTTGTTGCTTCCTGATTGCTATTAACTGAAAGCACGAATAATCCTTAGGTCAAGACCTGTAGGGAAGCATCTGTAGTGATCTGATATAGAACCACAGCTCCTGTGCCCCACAGTGAGAAGCCTTCCTTTTCCATTCCCTCAACCCTAAATTAGACAGGAAAGAAATGCTCACTTCTGCTCTAAAAGTGACGAACTCTTGAAATGCAGTAGGGAAACTCAGAGTTGGCATCTGCAACAGAAATTATTACTTCCACTTGAAAAGGTGCAAAGAGAAATGTCAGAGCCTACGACCGAACATAAATAAGCAAAAATTGTATCAATGAGTACATGTAAGTATTAAAGAGAGAAGACTATATCGATCTAATAATTTCTCGGTGGTGTTTCCTTCTCTCAGAAGTAGTTGGTGGCCTTTTTACCCATGGTAGGCACTTTCTGTTTTCTTCTATGTACAATAGGAAGCCATTAAAGCATTTCTATTGGGCAACAGTTTTACCAGGATCCTCTTGATACCGGATCCTCTTGATACTGTGTTGAGATAATTTGTATAAAGACAAGAGGGACAGTAGGGAGGCTGTTAGGGAGCTAGTTCAAAGCCTAGACTTTGATCAGAGTGATAGCTGTGCATATACCATATCCTGGATATATTGGAAGTAAAGGTGAGAAGACTCCATGATGTATTAGACATGGTTACTGACAGAGGAAAGGAATCAAGGTTCACGCCTAGATACATGATCAGAGCAGCTGAAAGAGTGCAGTTGTCACCCACTGATATGAGAGGAGTCAGGAGAAGCAGTTAACCTTTGAGCAGCCTATTCGATCTTCAGATGCGGGCATCTCAAGAGTAGTTGGGAGAAAGCTCAGGGAAAAAGTCAGAGTTGGAGATAAAAATGTGTAAGTCACTACTATATAAATGACATTTAGAACAATGGGACTTTATGAAATGATTTAAGGGGAGAATGTATTTAAAGCATCAGACTGAGAAAAGAGCTCTAAAACAGCCCAAAATATGGACACTGAAAAGAGTAGGAACCAGAAAAGGAAACTGAGAAGGAGCGGTAAGTGAAACGGGGAAATCCAGAAGGGTGTAATATCATGGAAGCCAGAAGAAGAAAAGTATTTTAAGAAGGAAGAAGTGAGGATCAGCTGTCTCCAATGCTGCAGAAGAGTTAAATTGTATGAAGACAAAGAATTACCTTGAAATTTTATTTGGCCTTGAAAAGAGCTATTTCAGTTGAAACGGTGGTGATAAAAGATTGACCGATAGGGATTGAACAAAGACTAGTGACCTTGTGATTTCAGTCCTGGGAATTTATCTTACAGATATATTGGCACTTAGGAAAAATAATATATGTTCCAAGTTACTCCCTGCAACTTTTTATATGGATAAACAATTGACAGCAATAAATACTTGTAAATAACAAACAAAATTAACTATGTACATCCATTCAATGGAATACTATCCAGTTGTTAAAATTATTAAGCCACCTTTCTATGTACTAAGATGAAAAGATTTTCAAAGTCTATTAAAGAGAAAAAGTTGCAATTCAGTATGCATGGTATGTTATCATTTATAGAACAAAGGAGAATGAACCTATGTATGAAAGTATATATTTAAAAACTGGATAATAGTGGTTGCCTACAGGGAGAAAAACTGGGTGTTGGGGTTCAATAATGGGAGGAGGATAAAGTCCTGTATATACTTGCTTAGTCTTGTATATACATTAATATCTTTGAGTTATAGTTATTGAAAATAATAAAAGTTTATATGCAAATCACACAAAAAATTGTAGTTTAAAATAATAATGAGGAAAAAAGAATGGAAGATGAGGAAACAAAAACTCTGTATAAAATAGCTTTTTCAGGAAAAAGATGAAAAGTGGCTAGAGCAGGCCATGGGGATTTGTTTTTAAAATGGGAGCTGTAATGTTGGAATTAGGCCAATGGGAATGAACCAGGCAGAAGCAAGAGTTGATTTAAAAAATAGAGAGGGAGTGAGAAGAACTGTGGGAGCAAAGTCATTTAATAATTGGTAGGGGATAGAATTCCAGAACTGAATGAGTGAGAGAACTAGCAACACTAGGAATAGGGACAGTGCATTTTCCCACAAAGCCCCAGACTTGTATCAGTCCTTTGGTCAGCCTCCTATATTCCTAAAGTGAAGTGCTGCCTGGGACATTTGTAGAAACTCTTCTAATTGACGCCACTGTAGTAAAGTCAGTTCTTATGTCATTTGTTCACTTAACCTCTCATCAAATCTTTTCTTACCATCGTTTGGCATTCTCTGCAGTTCTCCAAAGCAGCCTGAGCACAGCTGGCCACCCTTCTCAAAACTAATCCTGTCTCTGTCCCTGTCCTGTGCTTTGCTCTCAGGATGATTCCTCTTTAATGGGAATTCAGACACTCCCAGGAATGAAGCTCTCTCCACTCTTCTGACTCCTGTGTGTTTAGTTGCTCAGCTACTCTCCTTCCCTCTTATCCTATAGTCAAGCTGACTTCCTCTCTGCTTTGGATCTACCACTGCCCCATTCCAATCTGCACCTTGCTTCATAAGCCATTCTTTGTATCACCTGCAGCAT